TGCGGATATTGTTCCTTTTGGATTGGTCACACAGTTCTCTTAATATTGTTTCATTCCTGGATATCCTTTTATCTCTCTCTGCATCAGTTTCTATGAGTTCCTGTTCTCTCGTTTCTATTCCATCAATGGCCTCTTGCATCTTAACCATTCTGCTTATAAATCCTTCCAGAGTTTGTTTCACTTCTGTAATCTCCCTCCGGACATCTATACTCTCCCTCCAGACTTCATCCCTTAGCTCTTGCATATTTCTCTGCAGCTCTGTCAGCATGTTTATGATTTTTATTTTGAATTCTTTTTCAGGGAGACTGGTTAGGTCTGTCTCTGCAGATCCTCTCTCAGGTGTTGTCTGAACTATGTTGGACTGGACTAAATTTTTTTGCCTTTTCACGGTGATAGCGGTGGCTGTAGGCAGGTTGTGGGTGTGTCAGCTGGGAGAAGAAAGTCCTTTCCTGCTTGCTGGATGCCTTGCCCTTCTCCACTGCCTGTGATGGTTACCCAAACTACTGGAGCAGCCACCAGGTTAGTCCCCTAAGCTGCTGTGGGCAGGATCTCCATCAGAGCAGCCCAGAGCCCTGCAGGGTGTGGCAGGCATGCCAGGTGTGCTCCTCTGTGCTAGCAGCACCCCTGCCGGGCAGCTGTGTGGCAGCAGCAGCCTTTGGGGCTGGTCTGGGCAGCTATGCATTGGGCTGGGATTCTGGGTTGCTGGGAGCATGCCTGCTCCCTCTGGCTCTGCTGCAGGTGTGCACGGGGTTCTCCTGTGCGGGCCTCTACCGGGCTCCTCTGGCTTCACTGCCACCGGTGCATGCAAACTGTGCCCAGACTGTTCGGTTGTGCTGCTCTGGGCTCACACAAGCCTCTCTTGGTCCTGTCTGTCACTACTGGTGCACGTATCTGCTCCTGGTCCCTTCCGGCGCTGCCAACCCCAGCATGCGCTGCCACTCTCCCGCTACTGGGCTGGTGTATTGGGGTCCATGCCAGTTGGAGGAATGACTGGCAGGCTGCTTAGTGCCGTGAGGGGCTTCAGAGCTGCACTGCCTCCCCAGGGTTTAGGGTGCCTAAGTTTCTCCGGGATTCCCAGCTGCTGGCTATGTGTGCCGCGACAACTTCATCCAGCTATGGGGTCCCTGTCTCTTTAAGACTTGCAGAAAGCATTTGCTTTTCTTTTGTCTCAGAGGCGCTGGTTGCAGGGGCCTGCCCACAGGTTTAGCTTTTCCATTTCTCTAATATCCAGCACCATGTGCACCTTGTGTCTGCGTTCCGGGTGCGGATTTCTAGAGCTGGTTGTTTAGCAGTCCTGGGCTGTCACTCCCTCCCTGTTCTGACTCTTTTCTTCCTGCCAGGTTTTGGGGTGCGGGAGCATTCAGGTCCCACCTGGCCATGGCTTGTATCTTACTCCCTTCGTGTGATGTTGAGTTCTCACAGATGTAGATGTATCCTGGCTGTTGTACTGCATCCACTGGTGTCTCTTTTAGGAATAGTCGTATTTATTGTATTTTTATAAATATATATGTTTTGGGGAGGAGATTTACTCTGAACTACTCATGCCGCCATCTTCCCATGATCTCTCCCTACCTTATTTTTCTTCACCAATTTTTTTAGCTATTTTGACTTTTGCACTTGCATGTAGTTTTACAAAATTATAAAATTAAAAAGACATATTATAGAAAAAATTCTGTTGTGATTTCACTAGAATTGTATTGAATTTGTAAATGAATCAAAGAATTGTCTTCTTCATGATGTGGATTTATTCCTATCTTCCACTCTGTCATTCAATAATAATTTTTCAAAAATGTCATGTGAATACTTTTTACATTTACTTGTTAAGTACCTTATGATTTAAGTACCTTATGGAATATTGGGTCAGTGTCATTTCATAGATAAATACTTAAGGGATAACTTATATATACTTCATGTATGAGGAACACATGATCCAGATCTTCTAAGCATCATGTTCTAGCAAACTGAGTTTATCAGACACAAATATCATGCTGAAAGTAGAATAAGTACTAATGCTTATTTTAATTATTAATTTTGAATCTAAGATTATGATAGTAGATATTTGAATCTAAGATTATAATTTCCAAAATCTGAAAAGAAATGTCTGCATGTCATGCTTAAGATGGAAGATGGAAATCATTTTTAATGCAAAATTTAACAAATACACTTATAAAGTTGACTTTAAAAAAAATCTATATGCTGTCATACCCAGCAAGGATCATAAAGATCATTTACTAGCTGTAATTCTAAGATTCCATTCATCTGAGACTTGTTTTGCCATCCTTACTTTCTTCCCTCTTGAGCTGTGTCCCTGTGCTTGGATGGGTCGTGTCAGCAGCAGTACGAGAGTAACTGGGAAGGACAGTCTTGACATGACGAGCCTGCTGTTGCCCCCAGTGAGCCACTCCTCGGCTGACCTCCAGGGTTAACTGGACCATACGGTTAATGGCTTGTTGAATGTCGTCCAAACTAGGAACTATTACCTGTGGAAGAAGAAAACTTGTTCCTGGTACTGTCAGCACCTAGTCTCCATCCCCAGTCTCCCCTGAGAGGGTAACTCAGCTGGCCCAGTGGAAGGCTGCTCTGAGGAGACGGGTATTGGAAAAGGGTAGGCTGCTGGTTTTCTTAATCCTGAGGTTTCCCCATTCTATTAATTCCTGAAGGAAACAGGTCAAACATAGTGCTTTTCCCTTTCCCCGTGAAGGTGCTGGCTACACCCAAAGCTGTGGCCTATGTGTTGGATGCCCATGAGGTAAAATGACCAAAGAAGCTGCCCTGCCAAAACTCTGACCTTGGCTCTGTGACATGTGCCATAGGAGCAAAGAAGGTGTCCACCTGGAGGCCTGACCCTGCAAGTGTAGTACTAGGGGGGTCGTAGGTTGCTCCTGCCTGGCCTCATCCCTTGGTCCATCACAGAATGCACCTCAGTCATCCTGTGTGACTTGGGAGTTCTAGGTGTCAATCAGCAGCTGGGGCACCCACAGGGATAAATGCTATGAGAAGGCACAAGGGATCCACAGTGCTCAGGGCATAGGCTCTTTCTGTATTTCTAGTCTGCCATTCTGAGTGGGCTGCCTCAGAGTTATGTGTTTGGATAGGGATATAGACTTGTGAGATTGTCTGAAGGAAAAAAAAGCAAGAAGATTTTTAGGGTGCTTGCTAACTGATAGCTGAACAGATGCTTAACTCGGCTCTTACACTAACTTTTAGTACACCAAGAATTATGCAGAGCAACTTTTTTATAATATATATATAAATATAACATTTTGTTTTTTATTAAACAGTTAGGTGAAATAAAAAAATATATAGGACCAAGAGTCTACTATAAATACAGGTTCAGTTCTAATGCTATATTTCTTAAATACATTACTGAAATATTATTGTATTTATTTGAATATTTAATTACACTCACCACATTAGGAATTGCAAGATGTACTTCAGCCTTTATAAAGGAAATAACATCTTCTGACTGTTTTTGTCCATACTGGCTGTAATAAGATGGACATTTAACTTACAAACCTTAACCTAAAATTTCAAAACTAGCTTACTTATGCTATCATTTTCAATCCTAAAAACAAGGCCATTTTCAAAGTACTTAATTACATGAAGAGAATATTATTTATAATAGAACCATAAATCTCAGACAACTAAGAAAACACAATGACTTGATATTCTCAGAAGTAAAATATTAGTCTCCTATACATTTTCTAGTATTTTAATGTTGCTCTCTCTCAGTAACAACCATTTAATAATGTTCACTAAAAGTATTTCTTGTTCCCAAGCCTATAACAGATGATGGACAAGATCACTAACAAAAAGCATATACCTTCATATGCTTTTTTATATATACATTTTTGCAAGATTAAACAGGAAGTTTCTAGTGAAAGCCTTTCAAAAATTGTTTTTTTAAACAGTGTCACTCATGCACAGACAGAAGCACAGACATAGAGATACACAAGTGCAAGTAATGAAGTAGTCAGAGTTACAAATTAGTTTGGTTACCTCCCTCTGCCTTGACTTCAGTCCCCATTCCAGACAAAATTATAATGAAGGTAAACTTTCCATAGCAAGAACTGCTGTCATTACTAAAAAACTACACTGCATCTATATATATAAGCAGATGGGAGAAAAATCGTCAGAACCATTAGGCCTCTGCAATTCAAAGTACAAACCCAACTTAGGCATGCAGGGCCAATAGTACTCAGATAAGTGTGTTATTGCAAGGAATTCTTTAAACTAAAAGCAAAAAGCAAGCAAATAAAGAAAAAAAATTCTAATTCATAGTCTCACTGTGAAATTCAAGATGTGGCAATAAAACAAATGTATACTTAAAAGGGCACAATCTGAGAACAAGAGTTTCATAAAGTACAGAAAAGCAGCTGAACTAACAGAGGCAGTGAACAACACACTCATCATTCAGTAACTTATTCAAGAAACTAAAGGATTAGCTTAAGGAATTCCCAAAATTTCAGATGCAAAATACAATGAGAAGTTATTTAAAGATAGAGGAAGGATAAAGGAAAAATAAGTAATGTTTATTGACTGCTTAATGTGTGCCAGGTGCTTTTCCAAGGACTTCTCATGAATTAACACGTTTCATACTACATTAACTCTCTGAGGCAGATCCTGTGACTATTATTTCCGCTTTGTAGATGAGGAAACTATCAAAGCGGTTATGGGCAGATGATAAAGTACATGAGAATGTACAAATACAAGATTAGCATCTCCATGAATCAGAAATGGATCAGAAATATATACACAGCCTGGCCAGAGCTCTGGTTGGGAACCAGGCTGTGACAGCGGGAGGTTGGCTCCTGAGGCTACAGGGCACTGCAAGTATTCCATCTGAGGCGGGGCTTGCTAGGCTTGCTACCAACAGCCACAAACCAAGGTGATGTTCCCCTAGTTATCCTTCAGATATTGTATCTGTATTGTGAGAGGCAAGACAACAACAAAATAAAGGCCATCGACCTACTGTCTGCAACTACAGCTTTTCAAAAGATGTGGGCCTGGGGAGGTGAAGCAAATCCATAGCATCCCTGGTAAACAATTAAGCCAGGCCATTTGTGTGCACCTTGGCAGAGCTTCCCATATCCTCAGCATCTCTTCAGGGAACAGTAACTGTGAGCAAATAAGACCTGGCTCTGTTCTCATGGTGCCCAGAGCCATGTGAAGGCAAAAGTTTAACTCCCAGTTAGGGAGGGAGGGAAAGACACAAACACACACACACACACACACACACACACACACACACACACACACACATCACATTCAAAGAGGGCTTATAAATTAAACCCCAATAATGCATGAGTAAGTCTAACAGTAAGAAAGAGGACTAAAGGAATCAATAATTGAAAAAGAAACTCACTCCAGATAAAATTCAACATATAGAAGTATGACAAACTCTAGAATAAGTATATGGAGAATACTCAAAGAGATAAATGAAGGCTAGATTCCAAAAAAATGATAAACTGTTAAATTAAAAAGGCAGAGATGATACAGTATCTGGAGGATAAGAAGAAAAGTACTAACTGAAATATTTAAGATGCAATAGATAAGAGAAGGAAGAAAGGAGAGGGAGGGAGCGGGGAGGAAGGAAGGAAGAACCTTTAACCTGTGGAATCTGATGCTATCTCTGGGTAGACAGTGTCAGAATTGAGTTGAATTCTCAGATACCTTGCTGATGTTCAAGACCCGCTTGGTGTCATACATGGGGGAACACCCCCTCCCCCAACACACACACACACACACACACACAGACATATTGGAATTGGTTCTGGGAACCCTAAAAGAAGCCCACAGTGGAAACAACCCAAATGACCATCACAAGAAAATAGATAAATAGATTGTATATACTCCAACTATTCAGAAGTGACAATAAATTATATCAATATAGATGACTCTCAGAAACATAATACTGAACACAGTTCAAATATAGGCAAAATTAAATGATACAGTGATTAAGGATCTAAAACATGTGGTAAACTGTAAAAAAAGCTAAGACAATGATAAATACTAAGTTCAGGAGAGTGGTTATCTTTGGGTGAGCAGAGAGAGCCCACTAAGGGTACTGGCAGTGGTCAGTGTACTCTGTCTTGGCTTGGGTGCCAGGAACATGGTTATTCATTCTTGCAGTATTACATGTGTTTTTGTAGACTTTTCATAAATGCTAGCTTTAAAATGTTTTAATTTTTTAAAAATTTAATAAAAATAAGGGGTGCTATTAGCATTGTTATGATAGTATTATCACACATACTTAGCATATTTTCAACTTGCCTTGCAACAAATATTCTTCTTCTCATTGTGTCCAAAGATAATCGTGTAGCTTTTTGAAGACTGTCCAGTAATTGATGAAAGAAAAAAGCATAGACCCCTTTACATTTCTGTAATAAAAAATCAGTGAAAGTTGGGTTCAAGGTGGCAGTGTAGCAAGATCCTGAACTCATGTCTTCCCATGGACAAAACAAATCTACATCTACATATGCAATAATTCCCTCTAATTCCCTCTAAAGGACCTGAAAATTGAATGAACAGTCTTCACAACAAAGGACAAAGGGATAATGTGAGAAGGGAAAGAGAAGCAGAGACACGGACTCACAAGGGAAAAAATACCCTTAGCAAGTCACAATTAGGGAGGGATCAAAGGTACTGAATTTTTTCCTGGGAAGAGAGACACTTGAGCTCCACATCATATACCCCAACCCTTTGATTCTGAACAGGAGAGGTGAGCCCCCAAAACACCAGTCTTGAAAGTCAACAAAGGTTATGCTCAGAAAAATAATAAAACTACAGGAAATGGAAAACCTGCTTTTAAAAGGCTCAAGCACAGACTCTCTTGACCTGGAAACCAGCACAAAAAACACCAATTTGAAAAACACACAAACCATTTACTAACCTTAAAGTGTCCATCAGAAAGGCAGGAAAAATCAAGGACTGTTCCCAGGACTGAGATACTGGCAGGAGCCATTTGTGTGATCTCAGTCCACCTTATTAATATCAGCACCAGTAAATGTTATTTTGGAATTCCCCTCTAATCTTCTAGTGTCAGTGGGTATGCCCCACTGGGGGCTCCACCCACCATGTCTCAACAGACACGCCAATGCCATGTGGCAGTTCTGTGGGCCATCCAGGTCAACAACACACCACAGCAGTCTCAGAGGTGCCCTGAAGCTGGACCAGGGGCTGTACCTGCTCATCAACATACCACAGCTATGGCTCTGTTACAACAGAAGGGCACACAGAGCCCACATAGGGGCCACTCCTTGAGAATCTGGCTCTGGTGACCAGGGGAGATTGTGTTTCTGGGTCCCATGGGATATCTCCCACATTAGACCACTCCTTCAAGACCAAGAGAGGTAGGTGACTTATCTAATACACAGAAATGAGCACAGAGAATTAGGTAAAATGAGGAGAAAAAGGAATATATTCCTAATGAAAATCTTAGGACAAAACCAAATGAAATGGAGATAAACAATTAACCTTGTAAACAGTTCAAGTAATGATCATAAAAATGCTTGCTGAACTCAGGAGAAGAATGGATGAATACTGTGAGAACTTCAACAAAGCGAAAGAAAATATAAGAAAGTATCAAACTGAAGTTATAACTGAACTGAAAAATACACTAACAGGGTTCAGTAACAGATTGGATGAAGTAGAACAATGAGTCAGCAAGCTGAAAGACAAAACAATGGAACTCACCCAAAGCAGCAAGGTGAAAAAAGAATTAAGAAAAGTGGAACAGAAATATGACATACCAAAATCTGTGGGATGCAGCAAAAGCAGTTCTAAGAGGGAAGTTCACAGCAGTACAGCACTACTTCAAGAAACAAGAAAAATCTCAAATAAACAATCTAACTTTACACCTAAAGGAACCAGAAAAAGAAGAATAAGTAAAGCCTAAAATTAGTGGAAGGGTGGAACTAAGAAAGATAAGAATGGAAATAAATTGAAAAGAGACTAAAAAGATATAGAAAAGATGAATGAACATAAAAGCTGGTTCTTTGAAAAGATAAAGAAAATAAGCAAACCCTTAGCTACACTAACAAAGAAAAAAGGAAAGAGGACTCAAATAAAATTAGAAATGAAAGAGAAGATATAACTGATACCACAGAAATACAAAGGATCATAAGAGACCACTATGAACAATTATATGCCAAGCTGGACAACCTAGAAGAAATGGATAAATTCCTAGAAACATATATGCTTACCACACCAAATCATGAAGAAATAGAAAATCTGAATAGACCAATTACTAGAAAGGAGACTGACACTGGACCCAAAAAAATCCCAATAAAGAAAAGTCCAGGACCCAATAGTATCACTGGCAAAACCTATCAAACATTTAAGGTTTTAATACCTATTCTTCTCAAACTATTTCAAAAAAGTTGAAGTTTCCAAACACATTTCACAAGGCACTGTTACCCTGAAACAAAAAACAGACAAGGACATCACAAAAAAGAAAATTATGGGCTAATATCCTTAATAAACATAGAAGTAAAAATCCTCAACAAAATATTAGCAAAACAAATTGAACAACAATTAAAAGAATCATACACTAGGGGGATCACGGGAAGATGGCAGTGTGAGTAGTTCAGTGGAAATCTCCTCCCCAAAACATATATATTTATGAAAATACAATAAATACAACTATTCCTAAAAGAGACACCAGTGGATGCAGTACAACAGCCAGGACACACCTACATCTGCGAGAACTCAACATCACACGAAGGGGGTAAGATACAAGCCGCAGTCAGGTGGGACCCAAACACTCCCCCACCCCAGAACCTGATGGGAAGAAAGGAGTCAGTACAGGGAGGGAATGAAAGTCCAGGACTGCTAAACAACCAGCTCAAGAAATCCACACCTGGAGTGCAGACACAAGGTGCACGGGGTGCTGGATATTAGAGAAACAGAAAAGCTAAATCTATGGGCAGTTCCCTGCAACCAGTGCCCCTGAGACAAATGAAAAGTGAGTGTTTTCTGCAAGTCTTAAAGAGACAGGGACCCCACAGCTGGACAAAGTCGTCCTGGCACACTTAGCCAGCAGCTGGGAATCCCAGGGAACTTTAGGTGCCCTAAACCCTGGGGCAGCAGTGTAGCTCTGAAGCCCCTCATGGCACTAAGCAGCCTGCGAGTCATTCCTCCAACTGGCACAGACCCTGACACACTGGCCCAGTAGTGGGAGAGTGGCAGCACACGCCAGGGGCAGTGGCGCTGGAGGGGACCAGGAGCGGATCGCATGCG